TCAGTGGTGTGACTAAACAGCATGTATCAAAGACCTAGGAAAGAGGCACTCTGTTTTCAGCTCTGACTTTAAGCAGGAAGTGATTTTCCTGATAAAACAGGTGAAAAAAACTATAGCTCCCCAGTCAGCATACTCTTACAAGAAATCTTGGGCTAAGTAGACAAATCTCAGTGAGGATTAAGGACTCCAAATGCACTGGGTGGTAAGAACAACTAACTTTTATTAAGTGCTAATTATAACTAAACACTCTTTCTAAATACTTTCCCTGTATTTTTTTTTGTAACTGTTAAAACAGGCTTGAATTTTTTTTTAATTTTTAATTTTTGTAGGTATATAGTAGATGTATATATATTTATGGGGAAAACAGACTTCTTATACCCATTTAACATGTGAATAAAACAAGATTGAGAGGTTAAGTCGCTTGCCCAAGGTCAATAGCTACTGAGCCAGAATTCAAATCTAACTAACTAATCAGGCTAATACTAAAATCAACACTTTAAATCTTCTCCCTACACTGCCTTTTGCATGGATAAAGTCAGCAACCTCCTTCTGCAAGGGATACCGACACAAAGCAAGATCTGCATTAAAAATGTACTTAAAGCAATGAAGTTCTGGTTTAGAAATAGGTAGATCAATGGGACAAAATAACATGTAAATAAATATACTTGAAAAATATATATATATGAATTTATATAATTTAATGTGGTATTTCAACTTGTTTGAGCAGGCGGATAAGCTAGATATGAGAAGGAGGGGGAGTGCCCTGAGAAAAGGGAGGTTTGGAAAAATCTCATAACCCAGAGACCACCCAAAACATGCATCCTAACTATAAGCAGAGAGGAAGGGAAATACCTATGCAGAAAGAGATGCCCCTTAAGACTCCCAGTAATCACTCACTCTGCAATTAACCTGTCAGAATGTAGCTAGCTACATGCTGTTAAGGGGGGAAATAGGGAAAAAGGAGAAATTCCTAAGTGATACACAGGTGGAATAAGTACAGATTTAACCACTTTCCAACCTTCCTCAGGTGGTGATAATGAGTAATGCAGGCATTATATAGAATTCGTATCCAACACTGGCCTGCACATACATGTGAACTAACAGTAAGGGGGAATCCCACAAATCTGGAGTGGAAACTAGGTGGGGGAAAAAGTGGGAACTTAAGGCAGAAGTGGGAACTAGACAAAGACAAAGGTGGAGACTTGAGGCAGAAGCAGAAGCTTGAAGAAACAGTTTGCCATAATAACCACAATGCAGAACTCTTGGGGCTGCTGTTGGCTCATTCCCCTTTAAACAGTCTGCTCTGCCTCATCTTTCAGCATGCACTGTCTCTGCTACTACCTAACCCTTGCTGCTGCTACTCCTGTTTCTCCAGCTGGACCAGCCTGCTCCTCTCTTGGAGTGTCCTTCCCTCAATAAACTCTATACTCTTTATTTTCTTTCAATAGATCTTTTGCTTACAGTACTAATTGGTCTCTTGGCTGAATTCTTTCTCCCAAGTAAGACATGAACTGAGGATTCCTGTACTTCCCGGTAACAAAATCATTAGGAAAAGGAGCCAGTATTAAATAAATATATAGAAATCCGCGACTGTTTGGGAGAAAAAAGTAAAGGTAAAGCCCTATCTTTTTTTTTTTAAGGGTACTTCCAGTGAGCTCTGAGTGTTTTAGAGACTCTGCCCCATTTGTGGGGATTATTAATCTTACCAGGGAATTTATCTGGAGAATATTTACTTTCAGAGGATGTACCATGGATGGAAGTATTTTTATGAAAAAATGCTTTGGGGGATAGGATTTTTAAAAGACAGAAGAGAACAGTGTGGTGCTGTTTCTTGAGTCTCACGAACAACACAGCAAGACGTGTATTCCCATTAACTCTCTAGGCCATGAACTACTTGTGCTCCCTTTTTAAGGAAGGAAAAGATTCTAGGGTGGTTTTGTCACTGAGTGCTGTGGAATGGATTATTTCCCTCCACTCTTGTTGCTAACTGAAAAAAAAAAAAAAAAAAAGACACTGCAATAAGGTTATGGGACTGAAAGAGCTACATTTAGACACAGCTGTTTTGGGGTCAAGGTCAAGGAGAACAATAATGGAAGAGAATAAGCAAAAATGAAACCACACAAGGAGAAGAGGAACCTGGGCACACCTGAGTGGGGAATTTTTCCTTAGCCACAATGGAAAAGGGCAAAGGGCTAGCCCAGGATCTCAGAAAGAAGGGATAGAAACGATGGAAGGATAACATGGCATTTGGTTCTGTTTCTCCTGGCTTTCTCTCTTTCTCAGTTCTGTTATTACTATTTTATTTTTTAAAAAATTTGTTGGATCATTTATATTCTCATAAAGTAGCTCAAATCTTTTATGGGACTAAGCAAGTTATAAATACATACTTTTAACAGAAATATTTAGAAAAATATTACACTTACACATATTCATATATAATATGTATAAATACATACATTTAAAAACATATATTTATTCAGAAGTTGATGTATATTATAATATACGTATATGTCATTCCTGAGTTTGGGTTTAGTGGCTCTCAAAAAATCATTTTTTGTCTTTATAAAGTCCTCAGGGTAAGAAATCCTTCCAGATACTCTTGTATATGGATTCCCAGGCCAGGGAGTGGGGTGGATGCCACCTGATCACTAGTGTCAAGAATTTCATACTCGGTGGGGTGGAAGTTGGCTGAGAGTGGAAGCGGCGAGAGCGAGATGGCAACGCCATAATTCTGACTGGGAATGCCACTTTCGACATTGGCACAAAATAAATCATGTGGAACATACAAGTCAACACCTGTAAGTCAACTTCTTGAAAGTTTAAGATTGTGGCAAGGTTAAGAGTTGGGCTGAGATTTGTCAGAGTCGGTAATAATTTTTGTGTCTAAGGATGGAGGGATCTGAGTTATATAAACAAGAGGTGTTCACTATGAACTGAAATAAGCAATTCATGGGTAAGGAGATTGTGGCCAGAAATTCTAGGGTACATGAGTGTTTTCTAGGTAACGGTAACTGTGATTCATTGGGGTAGGGGTAGTGCCAGTAAGAGTGGTATCTTTTACTGAATCTTCCCATCTGGGGGTAAATGGCTATTCATGCTAGAACCCAGTTATTCTAGCTCCTTCTCAAGAGGATGATGATGTGCCAGAGGTAGGTGAGGAGTGAAAATATGGGCATATGTAGGATGTTTTCTCTTTGTGTGTTAATTATACTGTGACATAATGAAGTAGGATTTAGATGGGACTAGTGTATGGTGTGTCCTTTTTATAGCTGCGGGTACTGAAAAACAATGGGTGAAACAACACTGTGGAGATGAGAATTTGATGATGGTGAAGGAGGTATAACTCAACATTTGCTGTTCTAAATTCCTGTCCTTTGCTATTTCCCCCCAGTCCATGGTGATTTCTCAGTAATAAATATACTACTGCAAATAATAATAGTATTATTGCTATGATTTTGTTGAATGCTTATTAACATCTTCACATGCTTCACCTCATTTAATTCTCACAATTGAGGTGAGTGACAGATCCAGGATTTGAAAATAGTTCTGCACACAACCCTTAATGCTCTACTAATGATTCTCATCTGTTGGTTGCATATTTACAGTTCACTCATTTATTGATTCATCCTATACTGTTTTTAGTCCTTACTATAAAAAGATATTACATATTAAACAAAGCAGGGCTGTCTCAGAAGAACAAAAAGCATCCCTTACCAAGGTAAGGGATTCTTTCCTTCCTCTTTCTTTCCCTCCCACCCTCCATTAAAAAATTATTCAATAAATCCCACCTTTGTGCTAAGCACCCTGCTAGGCATTCCAAATAAAAATCCCCGTGCTTCTAGAATTCATGATTTAGCCATAAAATTAAAAGCATATAGAGAGTAACTATAATTTTACACCTTTTACATCTCAAATCAGAGCAGTGCAGGTAACATCAGTTTGCCTACTTCTTATATCTGGCTTGACAAATAGAATACTTTGAAGATTTCATGTGTATTATATCATACTCTTCTATATACTTTCATCTTGGCACTGACATTTTATCTTGCCTACTTAGTAAGTATTTCATAGATGTAAAGAAAATATTTGGCAAAATCTACAGAGCAGGCCAGGTGTGGTGGCTCATGCCTGTAATCCCAGCACTTTGGGAGGTCAAGGCGGGCAGATCACCTGAGGTCAGGAGGTCGAGACCAGCCTGGACAACATAGTAAAACCCCATCTCTTCTAAAAATACAAAAATCATCTGGGCATGGTGGTGCATGCCTGTAATCCCAGCTACTTGGGAGGCTGAGGCAGGAGAATTGCTTGAACCCAGGATATGGAGGTTGCAGTGAGCCGAGATGGCACCACCATACTCCAGCCTGGGCAACAGAGTGAGACTCAAAAAAAAAGTCTATGGAGCAGAAGCTAGATTAAAAATAAGTCTTAAGTCAAAACAAGCGTCTGAGATTCAGGGGGAGATTACAACTGCTCTTTTGGAAGTTAGTGTCTGAGAGGACATGTGTGCAGACATGGGAACAGGTCGAGGTTCTTGATGGGACATGTGTTGGGGGAGGGAGGAAGAAAGGGAATCAGATAATGACAGGAGTAGTTTTCCCCATCTAGGTCATATATCCTCATAGTGAAGTTTTCTCCTATGATAAGAAAAGTTGTGACTTTATAGATTATCTATATATATTCAAATCTAAGTTTAAAATAAATTTGAAATCCTGCCAAATTATCTTTGGATTGTCACTATTTAATAAATGTAATTTTAAAAATCTACATCTAAACATAGTACTTATATGAATGAGCTTCAGGGCATCTGTGAACCCCTGAAATTATACGCAACATTGTGTTTCTCCGGACTTCATGAGATTTAAACCCACAACCTAAAATGATTAAGGCCCAATGAATAGATAATTAAAATTTGAGAGATTAAATCCCATAACCAGGGAAATTTTTTCTCTCATAAAATTAGAGCTGACAGCATACAAACCTGACATAAATACCGTACTTACATCAAGAGCCACAGACTGCTTGGCCCAGGACTTCTTCACTTGATCATACATAATTGTGTTGTTGATGCCAAGTCCACAAAAGATGACAAAAGCCTAGGAAAGAGCGAACCTGCTAATTAAACATTGCAGCAACTCATTGGCAAAATCTAATATGAAAGCAGGCAGTCACTAGGGATGGGTCTGAAAATACAATCTTACTGTACACAGAGGTAGGCCTTGGGAAAATAGGCACATTAAAATTCTTAATTACTATTGTTATATGACAAGTTTATAGCTCACACCGCACATGAGGAAAAATTATGAATTTAATGTTATTGTAGAGAAACTACTTCATATGTTTAAAAACATACTTACAGTCTGTTTAAATGGGTTCTTAATTTATTTAGGTTGTGGACTGATTTTAGTTAATCTATTCTATTTAACCAAAGCAACCTCTTTTAGTTGCTAGGCTATAAAATACTTTGGTAAAGAAACCAAGTTAATGTAACCATAAGGTAAGTGTTAAGGGGAAGGAGGATTGAGTTAGAACCATTAATAAAGAAGCTATGAGGTATTCTTGACTAAAGAAAGATAATCATGGGTCTTCATGTTGGCTACTGGTACAGTCTATGAGGAAGCCCATTCAAGGCTAACTTCTCCAGCTAGAGCGCCTGGAGTGAATTAATGGAAGCATGTAAACAAGAGAAATGTGAGGACAGTACACCTGGCAGAGCTGGCTCAGGGTTTCATGACTCTGAACACACACAAGCAAGACAAAAATAAGAAAATAACACTTTGAGGGAAAGAGAGGGTAATTCTGTAACAAAATTAGGATAAAAATAATGGATGGTTACAAAATAATCCAGTTCGTAAAACATAGGATCAAATCTCACTTAAGCATTTACATATTCCTTAAATCTTCCTGTAAATTTTGCCCTCCATTTGAGTATAATAATAATTGATTAATAATTGTTTGTCTTTTCGAATTTGGGCAGGCTGCAACCAGGGGACTCTTGATGACTCCATATAAACCTTGGTTTATTAACTTATTTTCTTACCTCAAAAAGTCGTTGATCCGCATCATCAAAAGGTTTCCCATCAAGTCTATTTAACACTTGAGCCACTCCTGTGGGGAAAGAGTGGATTATGTGGTCATTTTTAGTACTGGACATTGTGTTTCTCTAATAGAGTAGCCACAGCTAACTCTATGCCTTCTTTAGGGAACTGCACTCACTTTAAACTCTGGTCTCTCAAGTGCCTGCCGATTTCATGAGAATAAATCTGAGATGTAGGACAATGCAGTCTCTCTTTAAGGCCGATTTATTTAGACTAGATCTCAGTAAAGTTTGGAGTTCTACCAAGGCTTTAATCTGATTTTAGATGACTAGTTACAGTAACTCTAATATATCCCCCATATACAACTGAGTATATATGTAGCTGAATATGTGTGTGTATTCAGTTATATATATATATTTCAACTGAATATATATATATATTTTTCAACTGAATATATATATATATATATATATATATATATATATATATATATATAAAATTATCTGAAGCACAATACTTGAAAGAGGCAGTATGACATTGTGATTAAGAGCATAAGATTTGGACTTAGACGGTCTGAGTTCAAATTTCAACTCCACCATCAGGTGTGTGACCTTGGGCACATTACCTAAATTTTTTAGCAGTCAATTTCCTCATCTGTGAAATGGGGATTAAAATGTTAACTAAGAGGGTTATGAAGATTAAATGAGATGTTAGAATGTTCATTTAGCACATTGCTTCACTCAGAATAAACATTCAAGAAATGTTAGGAATTACTACAAGCAATGAAAGTTGATATAATACAGTTAACCTTCAAAGCAAAGTCAGTTCTGTTTCCTGCTACCAGGGGGTACATATAGTTCTAAAAAACTTAATTTATGAGTGATTACTTTTTCCAAAGTTCATTTCTAGTATTATACCAGATGTTTCAGGGCATGACTTTCAAAATACACAGGTTTAACAAGAAAAATCAACTATCTTGAAAACCACTAGCCTGTGTCCCCATTTAGTACACACACACACAAAAACTAGCTGTAATTCTAAAGTATGCTTGTATTTTTAAAAACACCCAACTTCCCACCATGGAGGTAAGTCATCGTATGCAAGAAGACATATATATAAATATTGAAACACAAAACTATTAGCATGTAACCAGGCAAACTACAGTCCTAATTTTGAAGTAATAATGGATGTTCACTTTTAGGATTGAAATGCAGGACTATGAGATTACAGGTAACACATGGTGTTTCCTATGGACTTTCTCTTTAAAAATAAATTTATTTAAAACTCGGTGCATGATGTAGTTTAAGTCTTTGTACTAGAGGCTTAGATCCCAAATCTTAGAATATTCTTTATATTCAGTAACATACTAATATTCTTATGCAGATTAAGCTAATGAAAAAAACTATCTCAGAATTCAGATCTTAAAAACACTCACAGAATACTAAATCCTTTAATAAGCAGCAGTGTTTTAGACTTTAACAGGCAATTTTAGGGGGAAGCAGAGAAAGGCAAATAGATGAATCAGTTACCAAATGAATTAGTGTTCTTACATCTCTTAGGGAAAAAAGTCACATTTTTATTGTGTTTCAGTAATTTCAACTAATTCCTCCATCCTTCATGACTTCTCTATTTCAATCATGAATTCTCCTTGCCTGGGCTTCTTTCTTGAATTTGATGCTTTCCTAATTGAGTTTTTTGAGGAGAAGGAAAGGGGAATGGAAGAAGAGAAAAATTGGAAGCTGTTTTTGCCCATGATTCCCTTATTGTGAGGAAAATGTGGCCTATTTCAGAACTGCCCAGGCAGAAAATGCATGCGCAGTATTATGTCCAATAGAGAATGTTCTTTCTTCCTTTTCCTTTACACCATGTATAAAAGCACAGATGTAAACACATTCATTGACATAGTAAGAAAGTCTGTACTAGGAGTTAGGAAACCTGAGTTTTATTCCTGACCTTGCTACTAACTTTGTGGCTTTCTTGAAGTCATTTGTCTCTCTCTCACTCTCTGGCTTTTTTTCCCTCTCTCTCTGCCTCTATTTCCACAGGGTGAGATAAAAGAGTTCTATTGGTTGATAACTCAGATTCTCTCCAACTTTAAAATTTATTGGTTCTTTCAACTTAATAAATATTTGTTCAAGTTGTGGAGAGTGTTGATTCATTAGCAGTCTGCGCTTATGAAATTACACAAGAGTGTGAGACATAGTTTGAAGAGTCCTGGCCATAAAAAGAGGGAACACATAAAAAGGATATGGGAGTATTTTATTTTTATTTTTATTTTTTTATTTTCCTGTAATTAATCTACATTGTTTGTATAGCAAAAATTTACGCTCATTTTCACTACTGTGTTGGTATTCTATTGAATGACTATATACCTCAATCTATCCATTCTACTATTATGGACATACGGGTTGTTTGCAGTTTTTTGTTATTACAAACAAAAGTACTGATGGGAACTTTCATTATACTTTGTATTAGCTTGGTGCAAAAGTAATTGCAGTTTTTGCCATTACTCTCTTTTTTTTTTTTTGCTCTAGGTGATCTTTATTTTTTCGTTTTTTATTTTTATTATTATACTTAAGTTCTAGGGTACATGGTGCACAACGTGCAGGTTTGTTACATATGCATACATGTGCCATGTTGGTGTGCTACACCCATTAACTCGTCATTTACATTAGGTATATCTCCTAATGCTATCCCTCCCCTCTCCCCCGTCCCCACAATAGGCCCTGGTGTGTGATGTTCCCCTTCCTGTGTCCAAGTGATCTCATTGCTCAGTTCCCACCTATGAGTGAGAACATGCGGTGTTTGGTTTTCTGTTCTTGCGACAGTTTGCTGAGAATGATGGTTTCCAGCTGCATCCATGTCCCTACAAAGGACACAAACTCATCCTTTTTTATAGCTGCATAGTATTCCATGGTGTATATGTGCCACATTTTCTTAATCCAGTCTGTCACTGATGGACATTTTGGTTGATTCCAAGTCTTTGCTATTGTGAATAGTGCCGCAATAAACATACGTGTGCATGTGTCTTTATAGCAGCATGATTTATAATCCTTTGGGTATATCCCCAGTAATGGGATGGCTAGGTCAAATGGTATTTCCAGTTCTAGATCCTTGAGGAATTGCCACACTGTCTTCCACAACGGTTGAACTAGTTTACAGTCCCGCCAACAGTGTAAAAGTGTTCCTATTTCTCCACATCCTCTCCAGCACCTGTTGTTTCCTAACTTTTTAATGATTGCCATTCTAACTGGTGTGAGATGGTATCTCATTGTGGTTTTGATTTGCATTTCTCTGATGGCCAGTGATGATGAGCATTTTTTCATGTGTCTGTTGGCTGTATGAATGTCTGCTTTTGAGAAGCATCTGTTCATATCTTTTGCCCACTTTTTGATGGGGTTGTTTGTTTTTTTCTTGTAAATTTGTTTGAGTTCTTTGTAGGTTCTGGATATTAGCCCTTTGTTAGATGAGTAGATTGCAAAAATTTTCTCCCATTCTGTAGGTTGCCTGTTCACTCCGATGGTAGTTTCTTTTGCTGTGCAGAAGCTCTTTAGTTTAATTAGATCGATATGGGAGTATTTTAAAGCAAATTTCTGTTTCTTTATTCAAACAGTTTAACTATTTAGGTCATCTCTTACCAATTATTTGGTGGTTGCTATTCCAAATAGGGACACAGAGAACAGATCTTATGTGAAAACCAGATATCTGGTCCGCCTAGGAAACAAGAAAGAAGTTAATTAAAATTGAATATTAACTATTCATTTTTGATTTACATTTTTTTCCATTCTTCATAACAGATATTCAAAAATAACTTTTTAAAAGTTATTTTATACACTGTAACCTAATTTTGTAATGCAAAAATTCACTCACCTGCCTCCTTAATCACAATGAACATCCTAAAGAAATCAAACCCAAGCCAAATATGAATCAACCCAAAAAATCCCAAACCAACATGACCTCCTTCAATCCCTGCAGCCATAGAGAGCTGGACATAAAACTATCTTGATCATGACCATACCACCAGACAAGAATTCCAGCAACTGTTTCTCCTCTGGGTATTCAAAGCATTTTAATTAAACCAGTGATCAATTTTTATCTTTGACTGGGTACACTTGTTAGTAAAATGTATTTGTGCCTATAAAGCTGTCATATTTACATTTACTTTTAATACTGTATATTTTTACTGTTACTAAATAATTATGTATGTTGTCAAATCTATATACAAAAATGGTAAGATAGATGTAGAGGTTTGAAGATTTTCCTCTGTACCCCAAAAGATGTCAGGAGGTGACATTTAAAATACAGAGGTACAATTATCAACATCAAACATTGAGTAACAAACTCCATTTAATATTAAAAACAATGGTCCATATGTGAATTGCTAGAGCGAAACCACTGAGAGTGAAAGGGTCTTAGTGAATTAACATGACTTTGATTTTCAGTGAGGAAGGTCAATCTAGTGTTCTGATACAATAGGAGAAAACAATAAGATATGAAGGTTTTGGATCATGGATATTGAGATAAAAATATATTTTAAAATATTCTTTGTTGAAGGCAAGAGCCACATATTTTAAACACTTGAAACTAGAAGTTAATTTACACAGCTAAATTTTATATTTGGATTTTTTTCCTTTCGACATTTCTCTTTGAGAAGTTAATTTTCCAGATATCTTCTATTCATTGTACCAATATGTTAGTTTCTCTTTTTCAATGTCTTTTGAAGATTAACATGCATGTAGAAAGGCCCCAAAATTGTAAGTATGCAGCTTAATGGATTTTTACAAAATGAACAGATCTATGCAATTACCACCAAGATCAACACATAGAATATTATCACCACCCCAGAAGCCACCTTCATGCCCCTAAATTCTTGTATATACTTAGTGCACATATGCATTTCTGATAGGCATATACTTACAATAAAATTGCTGAGTTATTCACAAGTTCAGCTTCAAAATACATATTTTTAAAGTTTTGCAAAGTACTTGTACCAATTTACTTTCTAACCAGAAGTGTATGAGAGTTCCAGTTGATTTGTATCATCACCAACATTTGATGTTGTTAGGCTTTAAAAAAAATTTTTGACAATTCTGATAGATATGTGGTTGCATCTCCTTGTGAAAGTAATTTGATTATCTCTGATGACTAGGGTGACCATAAATCCTGGTTTAAGTCTGTTTTCCTGACATAATTATTTAATAATATGCCTTTCATTCTCAAAAGTGTCCAAATTTGGACAATAAATTTATAATTTTCCTACTTATGATTAATGAGGTTGAACAACTTTTCATATACTTATCATCTATTTCTACTCTCTTCCATGAAGCGCCTGTTCAGAACTTTGGACTTTTTCTTGTTGGGTTGTCTGATTTTTAAAAATTGGCTTGTAAAAGTTTCTTCTGGATAAGAGCCCTCTGCAAGATATATGTATTACAAATATTTGTCTTATTCTATGGCTTGTTTTTCCACTCTTTTAGTGGTGTCTTTTTATTCAGAGGTCCCTAATATGATATAGTCAAATATTTCAATAGTTAAATTTATGGTTAGTACTTTTTTGGTTTTATTCAAGAAATCTTTCCGTACTCCAACCTCATGAAGATATTCTTCTATGCTTTTCCTAGAATCTTTATTGTTTTAACTTTCACATTTAAATTTATAATCCAACTGAAAATGATTTTCATGTATAATATGAGCTAGGAGTCAAAATTTCTTTTTTTTTTTTGAAATGGATATTCAATTGCTCCAGCACTGTTTTGAGGGAAAAAGCAATACCTCTTCCCAGCACTCTACTGTGCCATCGCTTTCATTAATCAACTGTCCATATATATTTGGATCTGTTTCTGAACTCTCTGTTCTATTCCATTGATCTAGGTATCTGCCCTTATGCCAGTACCATATTGTCTTAAATAACACGGTTGTGTAATAAGGCTCAGTATCTGGTAGTGCAAATCCTCCAACTTTGTACTTTTTCAAGATTGTCTTGACTATTTTTGACCTCTGGCATTTACATGTAAATTTTAGAATCAATTTGCAGTTTATACACATACGTATACATTCCTGGGATTTTTATTGGTATTTTTTGAATCTAACAATTTGGGGGAGAATTGACACCTATACAAAACAGAGTCTTTCAATCCATAAATATCTCTTAATTTTTTTAAGGCTCTTAAAATTTCTCTTAGCAAAGTTTGGTAGTTTCCCACCCAGTGTTCTTACACATAATTTGTTATATTTGTATCTTGACGTTTAAAAACTTCATGTTATTGTAAATGACATCAGTATTTTATTTTCTAATGCTTGTAATTGGTACATAAAAATATAATTGACTTTTTAATATTAAATTTGTTTCCATCAATCTTGCTACATTCAATTATTAACTTTAATATCTTACCTGTAAAGTGTTTTGGATTTTCTTGCCACATGATCACGTCATCTTATTCCTTAATTCTTATACCTTTTAGTTATGTAATTTTAGATTATGTGATTTTTCCTTTTTTAGTTTGTTAACAGAGTGAATTACATCAATTGATATTTGAGAATTCCAGACACAGAAACAAAAACATAAGCATAAATCATTCGTCCAGTGTAGTCTTCCAAAAAATATTTATTTACCACCTCCTATGCACCAGACACATTGCTTAGTGTTGAGGATAGAAAAATGAATTCAAATAGTCATTACCCTTGAGCTACTCACAGTCTAGGAAAGATAGAAATATTGAGATAAAATAAGTGTCCAAGTAGAGGACGTTCAAACACTATTGGAAAGACAACAAACTCTGTTTAGAGAAATCAGGAGCAGCTTGAGATCCTTTACAGTGAGTCTTCAAAGACAACAATGATGATGATAAGCTCACATTTGTTGGATGTTCACTCTGTATCTGGCACTCTGCTCAGCACTTTCTTATGCATTATTTTATACTTTTTACAACCACCCCATGAAGTAGGTACTGTTATCATCCTCTCTTATCAGATGAGACTTACAGAGATTAACTGCCTTGAATGAGAGAGACTGGCTCAAAGCAGCACAGCCAAAGGCAAACACATCCATCAAAGTTATCTTCCAAAAAAACAAACTGGTTTTCTTCCTCTCCCTAAGGATAAAATCTGAATTAAGGCAATACCAGTAAGCATGAAGAGAAGAAAGCCAATTTTAGAGAGGTATAATCTATAGACTTAGGCTAGCCATAGCAGCACTAAGATGGCTGGGTCTGCTTTGTTTTGCTGAGGGAGGGTCACATATTGTACAGACCACTGGGTCTGAGGCAGCACCAAGTAGTAAACACAATTGTCTCTGCCAACTCTGGGACAACAGTAGCCTCTGTCTAACCTCTCCTACGAAATCTGGGCAGCTGAGGGACAGGTCACAATGGGCAAGAAGAAAAGGAACATGCAGTAAGAAAGACAATTTAGAAGCTGGTGGTGAGAAAAACAAACCTTAGGCTGCTCGCCAGTTAAATAAAAGAGAATTTTGTTTACCCATCACTTTTAAAGCACTACAGTTCCCCCAAAGAGTCTTTTTTTTTTCTGGGAAAGTGGGAGTATGCACTCTCCCATCCCCATGAAGGATAGATAACATTAAGGTTTCTGGCTTGAGTAAACGTGGAAGAGTTCCTTGAAGTGGGGAACACAGGAAATTTGAGGGAAATGATACGAACTCCAAATGGACACACCTTACAAGTGGGAGGGGCTGGAGATACTAATCTTGGAGTCATCAGTCCTCTGTTTGAATTGCATGGGTAAGATTTAAGTTAATTGCATGGTTATTGCAAGAGAGAACTTGTCCAACAAAAAGACTAAAAATTGGATATTGGGGAACACAATATTTAGTGCTAGAAGAAAAAGGTGATATCAGTGACAGGGATGGACAAGAACTCCAAAGCTCATGCTCTTAACCTGAAGGCTTTACTGCATCTATAATGTGTGAACAGATTTCTACAACCTTTCTGGAAATAGGTTTATTGATGTGTATCCAGAGCCTAAAAAGTATAAATACCTACTCTTTGACCTGTCAATTTCATATCTAGGAATTTATCCTGTGATAATTATCAAAGCTATGCACATAGCTTTACATGTAAAAGTGTGAACCATGGCATTATTTATCTTAGTGATTTATTAGAATAACATGAATATTCAACTGGAGGGAGTTGGTTAAGTAAATAATAGTAATTCATACAACAGAATATTATGCATCTAATTAAAATCATGCTATAGAAGAACAGTTACTCATATGGAAAATATTTAATACATTAAATTATAATGGTGTACATGCCTGTGGTTATACAAAAGCATATTATATACATTGAAGGATCCTGAAAAAATTATGACCATAATAGTTTCCTTTGAATTTCTTGGCTATGAGAATTTAAAAATTATTGTTCCTAGTTTGTAAATTTTAGATAATAAACACAGGTAATTTGTCCATAAGGGAAGAAGTTATTTTCTAAGTAGAACTTAGGGGAAGCAACAGTGTCCAATGCCATAGAAAAGTCTAATAAGATAAGGACTGAAAATGGCTTACTGAATTTAGCAACATAGTGGGATAATTGAAGGCAAAAATGGTCAAGGGAAGAAAGGATGTGATCAGGAATAAAATTCAAGTGGTTAGTCCTGGAAGAGAGGAAGGTCACACTGAGAAAGCAGAGCTGCGTCTATTCAGAGCTTGAGTCTTGTATGGGCTGAGCACAGGAGAAGAGGTGAAGCATCAGAGAATGCAG